TTGTTAAACTAAAAACTTTGTTTTCCAGAGCCCCAGTGCTAATCCAACCCGATCCAGCTAAACAATTTATCCTCGAGGTTGACGCTTCCGACTCTGGAGTGGGTGCTGTGTTATCACAAAGACTTGACTCAGATCAAAAGGTTCATCCTTGTGCCTATTTTTCTCGCAGACTTTCCTCCGCAGAGCAAAACTACGACGTTGGAGACCGAGAACTTTTGGCCATAAAACTGACATTGGAGGAATGGAGACATTGGTTGGAAGGAGCTGAGCACCCGATTCTTGTCTGGACTGATCACAAGAATCTTGCTTACATCCAATCAGCTAAACAAGCCAACCCTCGCCAATCCAGGTGGTCCCTATTTTTCTCTCGCTTCAACCTCATTATTTCCTACAGACCCGGATCCAAGACTGTCAAACCCGACTCTCTCTCTCGTCTTTAGTCCGTTGATCAACCCGAGACGCCTGAACCTGTCCTACCAGCATCCTGCACTGTCAGAGTGGTTACATGGGAGATCACCGATCTCATAAACTCAGCCCTGGCTTCCGAACCTGACCCAGGTAACGGCCCTGCTAACCGAACATATGTCCCCTCCTCTGTTAGATCTCGCCTGATACAGTGGATGCATGCTGCCAAATTTTCCGCTCATCCGGGGGTGAGCAGAACAGTGGCTTTAATCTCAAGACGTTTCTGGTGGCCCACTCTACATAAGGATGTCAAGAAGTATGTTTCAGCTTGTGCTACCTGCGCCAGAAACAAAGCCTCTCACCAACCACCTTCAGGCCTGCTGCATCCTCTTCCAGTCCCCTCGCGCCCTTGGTCCCATATCGCTATCGACTTTGTCACTGGTCTACCCATCTCCCGAGGTATGTCTACGATCTTCACCATTGTCGACCGATTTTCAAAGTCCTGTCATCTGATCCCCCTTAGAAAACTTCCCACGGCTTTCCAAACCGCCCAGCTTCTGATCAAACATGTCTTCTGGTTACATGGGATTCCCCAGGAGATTCTTTCAGATCGCGGACCTCAATTCATCTCCCAAGTCTGGAAGGCCTTCTGCTCTGCTCTCAATTGTAAGTCCTCGCTAACCTCTGGCTACCATCCACAGTCTAACGGACAAACAGAACGAATGAATCAGCAGCTCGAGTCCACCCTCCGCTGTTTAATGTCAAGTAACCCCACCGACTGGAGTCAGTACATTACCTGGACCGAGTACGCCCACAATTCCCTCAAATCAGCCTCCACCGGACAATCTCCATTTCAGGTCAGTCTTGGCTATCAACCACCTCTTTTTCCCGCAGACGAAAGAGAAATCTCAGTCCAGTCCGTAAACCAACACATCCGTCGATGCCAGCGCATCTGGAGGGAGACCATCGCCATTCTCAATCGCTCCTCCGAGACAACCAAACGTTTTGCTGACTCCAGGAGACGCCCGGACCCCGAGTACACTGTCGGACAGTAGGTATGGCTGTCCACTCGGTTCTCGCAAA